AAATTTTACAAATAATATTTCATGTTCGGATAGTGAATGTTATGACTAAAAAATTGTATTCTATTACTTATTATTAATGAGGAAGGGAGGGGTGTCAAAACTCAAGTTTGTAGTCATACGTGACCACGGTTAAAAATTAAAAAAAAAGAGTAAGGGCTGTGGTTAGTGGATCTTGGTCAAGTAAATAAATTATACAGTATAAAAACTAAAAAATACTCCTTTTATAGTGAATCGACGTTGTAAGTGAATCTTTTAATCGCCAAATATGGAAATGGGATCTGAAATTAGTTGCCAGATATAGGATGGCATCTGAAAATGGGAAATCATTAATCCTGATGATCCTGGATAGGACTATCCTACACCTCACCAACGGGAGGACGTTCGAGCTCTCGACAGATTTAATTCCCATTTCTCCCCTACACGGTGGGTCTTTAGTGGTACTAAGTTCGAACTCGTGACATGCCAGCCACGATCCGATACCTTAACCACTAGGCTACAGCGGCCATATGATCGTTTAACAGACAATAGTTTAGAGAAAAAATAAATAAGTGGTGTTAGTGCTAATCGGCTGTGATTTGTTTCTTTCTTCCTGCATTTTATTAATAATCTAAATATTTTTTGTTTAAGAAGTATTCGCGAGGAAAAATAAAGGAAACATTTTGCAGCTTGGTGAAAATTTGAGGAACAGAATGAAACGCAAACAAGCTTTAAATAAGATCTGCATGATCTTCTGAGGAACTGTGTGAATATTGCTCATCAAAACTGTACTCGAAGATTTATTACTATCTCTGATGAAGACGCTTTAAAGCAACCAGAGCTTCAAAAACTGCGTTCATGATACATGTTCACCACGTTCACGAACTCTAGGGGGGAGAGTCAGGAGTTCAAGTCCTGGTACTACTGAGTATCCATCGTGTGGAGGGACTGATGCACCTAAAATCTTCCGTGGCTCAAAATCCTCTCGTAGTGTATAGAAGTTTGAAGGATGGGGGTACAAGCTGAGGTGTAGACCTTATCACTTAACCATGGCCGAAAATTATGAGGACCGTTGCTTTTTGTTTTCTTTCAGAGTGTGACGTTAGTAAAAAAAGGCAATTAACAATGAGAAGTTAAGACATTCCCATCAATGATTGATTGATTGATAGAATATTAACGTCGCACTGTTTAGCTACACGAGGGCTTTTGGCGACGGACCACGTAATTTTGAACCATGGTCAAGTGACGTGGACGACACCTGAGCTGGCACCCCCTCTCCTAACTTCCACACCACACCAACGGGAGGACGTTTCAGCTCTCGACAGATTTAGCGTGCATCGTTGTCCTACACGGCGGGTCTTTAGTGGCACTGGGCTCGAACTCGTGACAAGGCAAGCCACGGTCCGATACCCATACCACTCGGCTACCGCGCCCACGACATTCCCATCAAGATAAAGTTTAAGAAGTCCACAGAAGACACGACTAAAAGTGCGGCAAATAGACGCAAAGTTTAAATTTCGGCCTATCTAACAAACGCAGAAAGTAACAATCGCAACAATGCAAATGTTAATTTTTTCAACCGTTTTACTTAATTACTTATCTTTAATTACCTGATGTGTTTTAATGCTTTCTCTAAGAATAATTAAAATTTAATTAAAGGTAAAAAACTGCTTCTGATAAGTCTGATGAGTCAAATTATTAGTTAGATAAATACCGATTTGAGTTTAGTTACTTCAATTTTTGTCTCAGTGTCTCAAATACTGTAATAACTGCATTTTAACGAGCAGTTTCAACACTTAAAAGTTAACTTGCCTCAAGTACTATTTTCATGTGCGTAAATAAAGTTTAAAGTTTATATATATGCTTTGTTTTGAAAGATGTTTTAAAGTACTATCTCTTTTCATTGATTTTATCTTATTAGCGAAACAAAGGAAATGTAAACGAAAGGAAAGGTTCCACTTCAAGGTAAATAAATGGCTTTGATATTTTTCAAATACACAATTAAAAATTTACACTTGGTCAGTCGGAACTTTAGTATGATTGCAATACACTGCTAAAATTGTTTAACTTTTGCATGAAGGACTTGTATATTTCAGAATAAAAAATATTCAGTACACTGAATTATTTTGAATTACAGTATATTTTCTTTATTTTTTTACTAACAGTTATAGAAGTTTTGTAATATGTTTTTCAGCATCTTGATTCAGATGGATATGCTTCCGAGTCTCAATTTTAACTTTGCAGCTGAACAATCAATACTAGTGCCGAACCTCGTAATTTTGCACTTCAATAAAGTGACAAAGAAGAAACTTAAACTAGAACCCCACTCTACAGACTTCCGCACCAAGGCAATTCGAACCTCGACAGGGTTTACGCAGTTCAGTCTATCTACACTGCGAATCTTCAGTGGCACCAAAATTGGAACATAGGATTCGACAGAATCATTTCGGCTGTGAGTTCTCGATTATGACACTCGGTCACCATGGCAGGCACCCATTTAAGAGTTATATATTAAAACTACAACGACTTCATGCTAAATCAAGACAAATGAATCTATACACAAATTCCTAAAAACTGAGGAGTCGACTTGGTTGACTGATTGTGTACTAACATCGTAAGTCAAAGCAAATCGAAGGACGAGAAGACGGACCTCATAAGTATAAACCACGGTTAAATAACGATGACGACACTTGAGATGGCCCCTTACTCTTCTTATTTCCACAACACACAGCGTAACGTTGAGCATCTATAATGTTCATCAGCCCCGTTACATGAACGATTTTAGTGGAAATAGAACTCAGGGGAAAAAAAGTGGTCGGCCAAGAGCTTGTGACTGAAAACTCAGTTGCCGCGATCTTTGGAAGAATGCAGTTTTGAATTCGTTTATTTTTGGTTTTAATTAATAATAAATAAGCTTTTGTGATATCAAGTGAAGTTAGAAATATAGTTAACTAACGTGACAGTAAGATAATATAAATGCTGAAATAAAAATATTTGAATAAATAATGTGTGTGTGCTTGCAAAAAATGTTTAATGAAACTGTAAATACAGATAGCCATATGCACAATTATTTCAAAATTCGCAACATTTTACAAAGGTTTAATCATCATAAACTCATTTTGTAAACATCATGGAACATGTAAAAGGTCTAAAATAATCTTCAATCAAAATAATTTAGACTTAAACAAAATCTAAAAAATAATTTAATTAAATTTTTAATTTTTCTAAAATTTTAAAATCTTTACATATATTAAAATGTTTAATAATATTTCGATTTCCAAATAAACTAATTAAATCAAAAATTTCTTTCCTATCCTATTCCTAACATAAAATGCTCTCTAAACAAGCTCAAATAGGAAATAAAGGTTAAAAATTTTTGTATTGAAATTGACTTAAGTAGAACGAAACTTACTAACCATTACTACTTCCTCAACAATGACAATTTCGCAACATACTAACAACTAATAAAAATAATTCCGATTATCTGCTTCCTGAATTTTTATGAAACATTTAAGATAAATTTTTAAATGATTAGCAATGAGTACGCGGTGCCATCTGTGTGTGTGTGTTTACGAAAGATAACTGAAAGGCAAAATAACAATTTATACACTAAATCTTATACCGTTCTGCATCAACAGATAGAACACAACATTTATTTCAATGAATACTAAATTACTTGCGATAGTTGATGTGCACTTGAGTCACGCAAGAAATCACTGACCGCGTCTTCCTTGAAAGATCAAAGTCACGCGAAAAGGAAATTCACAGGTTCTGGTGTGAAATCACAAGTAAATGGAAACTCTTCATTGTATCCTCAAGGTCTAATTATAATTAAAATATGCAAATAATTAACTTTTTAGACATTTCTCCATAGATATAGAGTATGATAAATGACAAAGACTTTCGTATGGATGGTTGATTGGTAGATTGATTTCTTGAGGGAATAATATTGGTGGAATGCCTAAAGGGATCTGAACTCACCTAAAGGGCTCAAAGCGAGGAACGGGTTGCCTGGGAAACAACAATCACTCTATACTCAGTTTTAATGAACAATAGTCTTATGATTTATATTTCAACAGATTTGTCTTGATTTTAATTTACATTGCACTTTGAAGCAGAAGAGAGAAAATAGAGATGGACACAGTGCAGTGGCACGCAAAAGGGGTGTCCTAGGGGTCCGGACCCCCCCTCCCAAAGCCCTTGAATGTTTTTTTCCGATTGATTGATTTAATTAAGTATTTATTAATGATTAATTTTATTAATTAATGCTAATTATTTATTCAATAATTAGTCTTTTACTGTTTTTGTTTCCGAAAATCGACACAATCATAAAGAGCATGATATACAAGAATGGTGGACTTGCGCTCCTGGACCCCCTCCCCCTTGAAAAATTCCTGTGTGAGCTACTGACCCAGTGACGTAAAACCCTTCATCGTGGTGGGGAGCAGGATTCTAGGGGACCCAAAGCCAATGTTATCTTACTGCTTAGAAATTTTTTGTAAGATCCGGCTTGGGGCCAAAACCTGATTTGGCAGTGGGGTCCGAATATTCTCCGTTACCACTGCTGGCCGGACTTTATCCTTTTGAAACACGTTCAAGTGATGAAGTTGACACTTGAGCTGCCCCCTTCTCCAACCATCCACACCATGCCAACTACATTTTAATGGAAGTGGACAAAGACAATTGCATATTAACTTACAGACTCATTCAAATATATAATTTAAAAATACCGTTCATTAACACCGCCACACGAGAGTGAGAATATTAACATCACCCTATTCAGCTACACGAGAGCTTTTGGCGACGGACCTCGTAATTGAACCATGGTCAAGTGACGAGGAGGACACCTGAGCTGGCAGCCCTTCTTCTAACTTTCACACCACGCCAATGGGAGGAAGTTTGAGCCCGACAAATTTAACGTGTATCAGCCCCTCTACACGAAGGGTTTTCAGCAACACTAGGCTCGAAATGGCACGCCGGCCACAAGTCAGAGATCTTTACCACTAGGCTACCGTGGCCTTCACTGTTCCGTAGTGTAGCGGTTATGACATTTGCTTTACACGTGAAAGGTCTCCGGTTCGATCCCGGACGGTACCACGTAGCATAGTGCTTTCGTTTTTGTAGCTGAGGTAGCCGAGTGGTATAGGTATCAGATCATGGCTTGCCTTGTCAAGATTTCGAGCACAGTATCACTAAAGATCCACCGTGTAGGGCAGCGATACACGTTAAATCTGTCGAGAGCTTAAATGTCCTCCCGTTGGTGTGGTGCGGTAGTTAGGAGAGGGGTGTCAGCCTAGGTGTCATCCACGTCACTTGACCATGGTTCAAAATTAAATGGTTCATCGCCAAAAGCCCTCGTATAGCTGAACAGGGTGACGTAAATATGCAATCAATTAATCAATACCGGGGCCTCCCCCTCTACCCGAAGGGTCTTAAGCGGCATCATGACTAGAAGCCACGACTCGATTTGAACAACATCGGTCACGAGTTCACGGCTACCGTAGCTATTAAAATTTAAAATTGAATTTAAAAATTCTGACAATACCTTTTAAATAACTCGTTAGTAGAAATATCCTTATTCGATGTACTGGGAGCAAATCTAGCCAAGCGGATAGTTTTGGCACTGCTGGTGATTTACTGTCCATGTATTGCAGACCGAAATGTTACCCACGTTTCAAGTCCTATCATCAGAATTCAGGAAGTTTTTTTATTCCTTCATATAACTACCATGGAACTATAAGCAAACCTACATTTCACATAACACTTTGCTCACTAGAAATAAATAGTTCATGACAAATTGTGCTTATTTTTAAATGATATTTCACGACTATTTTTCTGTTTAGTTACACAAAAAAGTACCTTATGTCTAGTTCTACAAAAATTTATCCAATCTTTTGTGAATTTATAAAGTATTTACTGTATAGTTTACGGAAAATAACTTTTGTTTTTATACGGTAATCTTCTGCGTAATCGAATCTAAATCTTTTGACCCGTTTGCCATTAGGTTGTTGCTATGACAACCGGTCTATTATGGATCTAGATATTAAAAAGATGTATGATGTTTGAAAACAGTTTAATCTCTACAGAATATATATAAACTTTCTTTAATGCACGAAAATATGCTCGATGCTTAAAATAATCCGATTGAATACTAAATGAGGTATAAAAAGAAATTTGTTTTGGAAAACAGATCTATATATATATACTGTAGTAAACATATAAAAACCATATTTTTGCTTTAACAATAATTGCTATATCTTGTCCCATTAAGTGCTCAAAGGATTTGGGAAATCCTATAAAATTATTGACTTTATTTTCGGTATTATTCAATCTTTATTCTTTATTAATCGTAATCAGTGGCAATTTTCCATTGTTTAATCCAATCTAATCCACCATGAAAGAAATAATTTAACAGAAAATATGTAATGAATTTTTTTTAAAAAAATGTCTGATGTATTTTAAATGAAGAATATTTTTATAATGCTTTTTTGAAATTTTAATTATTTCAACAATCATGTTTTTGATTTATAATAATGGAAAAACAGTTTGGAAGGATGCGATTTTCTGCAAATTTGATTTAAACAATAGTAGTGTATACTTCTAATATCAAAGCATATGAAAATAATTTTTACAACAAACTGAACCCGAATTCTTTTAAATAAAAAAAAATATTGGATGGAAATCTCAATAGAGCTTGCATATAATTTTCTGTTGTAAATATAAAGGGAGGATATTTTGAAGCATCTTTCAATTTATTTTACAGCGATCCCTGATATTCAGCATGGAAATCTGATAGAAACAGGACAACAGACTACCGAGCTATATAACGTTTCTTAGAATTATAAAATCCAAAAAAAAAACTGTATAATATCTTTACTGTATCAAATATCCTGAATCTCATAAGATTTTTTTTTTCAAAATATACCGTAAAAAAGTGCATTTTTATTCGCATATTTCTTGATATTTTTTGGCTTTTAAATGGTAAGTTAAAATCTATACATATACAGTGGCGTAACTTACACCCCCTCCTGCATCGCGGTGAGGGCCAGGATTCTAGGAAATCCAAAATCTATTTTATCTTATGGTTTTGCAACCCTTTGTAAAATCCAGGTTTGGGCCCAAAACTTGACTTCGTAGGGGGGGAGGTAATATTTTCCCGTTAAGACACTGTACATATATTCCAATTTAATCTCTATGGTAGAAATTAAAAATCTGTTTATCTATGGGGATCTTAACTTATAAACAGGGGCGTAGCTACCGCCGTATCAGTCATATCAATGATACGGGACTCCCAAGCTACAGGGGTCCCAACATGCGTAGCTACAGTTCCACTAGCAGGGCTCCCATATCTAAAAAAGGGCCTCAAAGGAATTTTGATACAGGGCCTTTCAGAGCTAGCTTCACCAGTGCTCTTAAACCTTACTCTTGGGCGCGTACCTCCCAGGTTATACAATAAAGAAAATTCATAAGGTATGTCATTTCTTTTAAGTAAACGGATTGCAGAAATCTATTTTTATATACTCGTCTTTTCTTTATTTTTAAAGCTTCATTGTTATATATTGCGTATATCCCGTACCCGTAAATTTCGATCTTATTTTCTGTGTTGAAGCTCGCGTTATACGCCGAATTAAACGGTACTTAAACCTTGGATTGTATTAAGATTAAGAATAGGTGTTTCTTCTTTTCATTATTATTGCTTCATTATAATGAAATTTTTATATGGAATGTAGAAGATATTTAAATATTCACTATAATTTTCATTACATTTCGCTATATTTTATCATTAAGGAAATCTAAAATGCAAGGGTAACTTGCAAATAAGTTAGCAACTTTCGTACTGAGATCATATAATTACATCTGCTCTAATATATTTGTAAAAGTTATTATAGAGCGATTTACTTTAATAACTTATAAATTTACTCTAACTTATCTGATTTTTTATTGTTATACATAATCGTTTGTTATAATTCTGATCTTAAAAAGTTGGTGATATATTGAGATTAGTAGCGCTAAGGAGCAATTTCACAAAATTTATCCAATTTGAATTTTATCTAATTTAATTCTTTACATTCATGTATAAAATAATTTCTTAATAGATATGACTTTTGATGCGATTTTAAAGGAAAATCTTTATTAAAAATGAAACAAATTATTTCATAGTTTATGAGGTTCCATTAAACAACTTCGTACCCTTTTTGTGGGTGTAAGAAATTACTTTGAAACATTTCCGTTTTCAAACTAACACTATATAAAATTCTCAATCGTAATTGTTTCCAGTTTTGTAAAATGCAGAATAAAATTACTTTTAAGTTTAAAAAGAACTATTATTTTTAATTTCTATAATATTTTCTATTTATGTATGCGAAAAACATTAATCAATCGAAAAGATTGATGCAAGAAAACTGAAAATAGTTCATTACACAAAGATATTAACTGCAATATGGAATAAGGAAGTAAGAAATGAAAACGAATGAATTGTTTTAAGCTAGAACTTGAAATATAAAATGAAAATTCAAAGATTAATAAAAAAAAAGAAATGGAATGAAATTGCTTGCGCACACAAAAAGAAAACGTGCATATTAATTTGAAACTGCAAAGGGATATATTTCAAGTGAAAGAAATGAAAAGTATTTTAAGTAGGATTCTTATAAAAATTTGACTTTTAAACCGTCGACTTCCATCTAAAATCCATTACAAAAACTGAACGATCGTGTGTAATTTTGTATTTTTCGAATTTTTTTTAATGTTTTATCTAGGCAAAGCTAAAGATTAAATTTAAGATATGAGGATCAATTTTTTTTTCGCTTTTTCTTTTTACGTTTTATCTTTTCTTTTATAAAATCCCTTTTGGAACTTTTAAGGAGGAAGCATGAAATTATTTCTATGCGATAAAAAGAAAAGCGAAGAATAAAATATTCTGATAAAAACAGTTATTCAGAATCTGACATTAAAATAATGTGCAATTCACAACAATTTATATTATTTTAACGATTATTTTTGGAAGGGAAAGTTTCAAAATAAATACACGGTAGAAAAATGACTAAATTCAAATGCTCCATTCTACCTAATGGCATGGTGTGAATGCAATTATTATTAAAACATATCTCAAACTAATAATTGAAAAAAATATTTATGTAAGAATTATTATTTATGCCAGACGAATGCTTGAGTAATTGTTTTTGTGAAATAAAATTATATGCATGTCTGAAAATTACCGTTTAGAAATCTTCTCCAGAGTCCGTATTTTTTGTTTTATTATAAGTACTACAATCAATGCATTGACTGTACGATTTTGGAAAATGTAAACCAATTCTTAGAATCGCATTAAAATGGTAATTGGGCGCAATCATAACGTAAAATTGTTTTTTTAAGTTTCAGATATGTATTTAAATATTTTTATCAGATGCTTGAAACGTATCTTAACAGGGTGTTTTTTTATAAGAATATCTGTCAAGGTCAGAATTACTTGCTCAATTGAAATATAGTATTATGCTGAATTTTTCCATCCTTAAACGTTTGAACTTTTAACAAATAAAATAAGAATTTCTCATAGTAAGCTGAATATTACGAGTTTTTTTATATATATCATTGAATAATTGTTATTTATTAAGTTTTACATGAACGATTTACATCTCCCAGAAAAGTAATGCACTTATAGGAGAATGATTTATTTTTGGACTTTTTATTATAATCGTAATCATACATCAAAAACAACAACAATCTGGAAATTTACATAATATCAGTGGATTATCGTAAAATCTGGCGTATATAACGCGCGCGTTTATACTTTCAAGCTACATTTTTAAAAATTTGTAGGTGTATTCGCGCCGTATCCTTTTTTACGAAGAAACCTGAACTGTGCATATGCAATACTATTATGTTTTTAAAATCATTATTTCATCTTTTGTGGTCAGTTTTGAAAAAGTACATTTTAGAAAAAATAATTAAAATGCATAAAAATTTATGAAATTAAAAAAAAATGTACCACCTGGTCATGAGCATATCTTTAAGGTGTAAATTATTGTTATCGAAACAGCAAGATCAAGTAATCGATCTAATAACATAGATCAAAATTTATAGAAACGATAAATTTTACG